TAGACTCAATAGTAGAAAAAATTATTATTTTAATGGACAAATTCCATAAAAAAACGAAGTCAAATGGACACCAAATTTTCAACATTTTCCATGAAAAATTATACAAATCAAACACAATTAATTACAATTCCTAATAAAACATTTTCTAAGAAAATCAATTGCCTGTAAAATATTTTCTTTCCACCCTTACAATCAAACGGACCCTTAAATTTATTTAGTACTCTAGTTTTCTTCCTTCAATTTTCTTATCAAAATCCTGATCAAATAATTCTAAGCCGGATGAGGTGCTTTTCCATACATCCAACAACAATATGATTCCAATAACTTGGAAACATTCTCATTATATAATACATTTTCTTCACCTTACTTTTATGCTGTCTCAAATGTACCACTTTTAGACTTACTGTTTCTAGATATTTATGTGTTTTACAGATTATTTCACGAATTCATTTCATAATTTTGATAAGCACGTAGCTTTTCAGTACATTCCATAGCCCGTGCTCTTTTTCTTACTTCCAATGATTAATCTGTTTGTACAGGTATCCTGTACAAACAAATTTACAGGAGCATTTTTTTTTTTTTTGGCCCAGTTCCTAATAAAATATTGCCAAGTCGATCCTTGTAAACCAATATGGAAAAAAGCCTTGTACACAAAGCACGGTTGTCCTTCCGAAGAAAAATATACAATGGGTAAAACCATATGCAACCACATGTCACTCATTCATCCACTTCATTCCCACCATCCATTTTCTTGAGACCCCTCTCTTTCAGAAATGTTAGGAAATATTTATGTCACTTCATTTAAACCCAAATATGCGAAATTAAAACAATCGACAATAAAACGCAACAAGTCACCATTTGTTGGTTCTAGCCGATTAAAGTTATTAATCCAATTAAATCCTAATTAAACAATCACGTAAAAATTCATATCAAAGCAGTAAAAAGTAAATAACACTAGAATTTGACGACCGAGAAAAACCCCTTGAAGAACTATTCACAAGGATAAAAAACCTCCGAGCAACCTTGCCAAAAAGATTTACTAGAAAAGTTAACTTACAATTGATCCAGACATTGCTAAATCTTAGCTGACTCTGATCACCCAACTGGTAAAATACCAAAGAACTCTTCAATTGTACGACCTGCATTTTCCAGAAATCTAGATCACTTTTTTCTCCACTGTATCACTAAGATCAAACTCGTTTCGGAGCGTTGAAACTCGAAGTACACCTTCTTCAACTTTAAAACTTTGAAGGCTTATAAGTGATGCTAAGGATTTTTTGTGTTTGATCTTTAGATATTGTGTTTTGATCTTTTAATTGAATCAAGATAATTATGGAATTGTTGTTTGATCTCTGTAAGATGTTCTTTTGAATGTATAATGGCTCAAGGCTCAATCAATGGAGCAGAGATGATTTGGGATGTGTTATAACTTGGGTATATCCTACTCTATTAAAAGAGTGAAGGATAAATGCACTATTCATAAGGCACTATTCACAAGCACTGTTCCTAAGAACTGTTCCTAAGAAGCCGTTTGAGCCGAGCCAAGCCGTAGTCGTTATTATTTGTATTTTCCTCTCCTCTACTTCTCGCTATTTCTCCTCTAGATTCCCCCAATTGTGCCCTATTCCTCTGAAATCAGTTGAAGTTCTCTGTATCCTTCTCAATCGCCTTGAGAAGGCCGAGCCGTTCACGATTTTTGATCACTTTCTCCATATTTACACGCAAAAAGGCATACTTGTTCTGATCTCTCACTCTCTCCTGTTAATTTCTCCCAAAATTTCCCTAAATTTTCGGTTCTCTCTCTCCGTAAATTGATTTTCCCAAATCGAAAGTCAGGAACCAGCAGCCGCTCTGCGTCGGTCTCCGCACGTCCGGCGTCTCCCGCCTCCGGCTTCACTGTCGTCGACTTCGTGTCCTAGCCGTACCCTTCTTTTCTGGGCACTTCAAAACTAGCAAAATCAACAACAAACTCATCTCTTGTCGGACGAGTTCCTGCAAAAATTAGAGCCAGAGACAGTGTAAAGGTATGATTTATTGATCTTTATTACTACCTGCACTGATTGATTTTTAGGGAAATATTGTGAAATGGGAATTGGGTTTTAAAATTTTTGAAAAGTCCTTGAGCCAGACACCTTTTTTGCTTCTGCGCGCGCTGACTTTGAAGTTGATTTTCGGCCAAATCTGCCTAAGTTATGGTCGGTTGCTGTTTGTAAAGGTAAAAATTTTAACCTTTCTACCCGAAAAATTAATTTGGGGGTACTTGTTGATTTGTTTTGTTTTTGGTTTGGGTAGGTGGTGGAAGGAGGCTAGAAAGGCTGTGTGCAGTGGTCGTGGCGGCGTTTTGTATAATGGGACTGCACAATTGACTGTTGCTGGTGAAGATGAGGAGAAGGATGAGGGTATGGCGGTGGGCCGTATGGATTTGGAGATTCTGGTAAGTATGAAGAGAGAATGGGGAAGCGAAGATTAGTGAAGAAGAATGGGTTTCAAGCGAGGGTGATTTTGCATTGGTGTCGGAGTGGATTTTTTCATAGCTCTTAAATGGTGAGCGCCAGTTATCATTCAAATTAGTCTATTTTTTCGAAACATTTTCTGCGTGTGCTTGTTTAGTTATGTAGTGATTGGTTATTAATTGTACATGTATCTTGTGTTAGTTTAATAGTTTTTGAAAAAAATTATTATTGATCAGTTGATGAAGTTATAATCTGTATATCTAACCAGCACCTGTAGTTATAGTTAGTTTTTCCCGGTTGCATCGAACACAAGTAACACTGTAGGCACTGTAACTGGTTGTACTTTCTTTCCTGCCATGACTGTCAATTGTTGGATGGCCTTAATGTTTATATGTTATACCTTAATGCAGATAGCACAAGTTCATCGGGCAACTCCAAGAGATGGGCAGGAGGTTCTTGTCAAAGTTCAATATAATGGACTAGAGGAAGTTATATTAGAGGTGATTATGCTTGGGCCTTTGTATTTGAGGTGCTGGGATATGGTTTTTAGCCGTAGAATATGCAATTATATGATTGTAGTGAGTTTTGCTTCTTTTGCAGGATCTGAAAAATGCCAAGTCAATAGTTGATTGGATTGCTTGGGCAGAACCACAATATGACTTCAATCCTGTCATGGACGAATGGTGCAAAGAAGTACCAAAGGAGTTGGATTTTAACCATGAGATTGGTATGGTTCAGATAATCGATTAAGTTTGATTTCTATCATCATCTTTAGCATCCTTTTACATACAAAAAAAATCAGACTTTTTTTTTAATTTTATAAACACAAACTCCAAAACTTTGAGCATGTTACATCTAAGTTCCAATATACATCCAAAAGATAGATGAAAAGCATAACTGCTTTTTCTAATTAAAAACACTCATATGGCGACTTACAATCACATGCTTGCAAGAATATTGGTTGAATATGTTTCAGCTGTAAGTTTGTTGTAAAATAACATTTTCCACAACAAACATGTGGAGAAGGTGATAATTATATCTAAATGAAGTTACTCTTTTGACTTTCTTGCAATGAGATCAAAATTTTCTCAGTGGTTATGATATATTAAGAAAAGGATAACAAAGGGAAGCTACCCTTAATACGATATTACGATTGTTGAAGGAAATAGTTCTATTTGACAATCAAATGTGTGATTTGACAGGTGTTTCATTTTTTTCTGTTCAGGTTGTGAAACTTTACTACTTTGTCTTAGTTTGGCAATCATCTTGATGAATCATGTTCATAATTTCCAAGCTTTATTGTTTTGTTTGGTTAGAAAGTTATAATTTTAGATATCTGAAGTTTAGGGATAATACTTATTATTATTATTTTTTTTTTGACCTTTTCAGCCGACATGAAGTAGAATTGAATAAAAAGAAATATGTTTGAAGGATTGGTGAGGCTGTTGATATTGGGATATCTGGGTAAATACATTAAAGACATCCAAAAGGAGCAGCTCAAGATCACTCTTTGGCACGGTAATTATTCTCCCTTTTA